CACTCTTCATCGTCGTCTTCTTCATCCTCTTCGTCGTCGTCTTCTTCGTCCCACTCTTCATCGTCTTCTTCGTCGAAGTCTTCGTCGTAGTCGTCGTAATCTTCGTCATCCTCGTCGTCGTCTTCTTCTTCATCGTCGTCTTCGTACTCGTCGTCATCGTCATCGATGCTGTTGTGCTCGGGAGCGAGATCGGCAACGACTTGGAACCCGGCCGCCAGCGCGTCGGGGTTCTCTTCTACTTCGGTCTCTTGAGTACGATCGAGTGCAACGGTCACGGCTTGCTCCTCTTCATGGCCATCAGCGTTATTGTCTGCTTGATTCGCAACTGTATCGGTAACTTGTATCGGGGATGGTGAGTTCTCTTCAGGCCGAAGCCGTAACATCTCGGCTCGTGGCAATTCGTCAAGGTGCCGAAGCCCGAACACCTGAAGAAAACGTTTTGTGGTTCCATATAAAAATGGGCGGCCCAGTTCTTCCGATCGACCTGCGATGCGGACCAACTCGCGCTCCATCAGTTGTCTCAACATTTCTCCGCATTGCACGCCGCGAATCGACTCGATCTCGGCTCGCAACACCGGCTGACGATAGGCCACTACGGCCAACGTCTCCATAGCAGGTGAAGATAATCTGGTTTCTACCGGCGTTTGATGCAACCGCCTCAACCACGCGCCGTACTTCGGTCGTGAGAGAAGCTGAAATCCTCCGGCCACTTCTTCGGCCCGAAATGCAGTCTGGCTCTGGTCGTACACCCGGTTCAATCGGCCGATTAATGTACGTGCTTCGGTTCCGTCCGCCAAGTTGGCTAGCTGGGCCAACCGCCGGGTATTCAACGGTTCGCGGGCCAAAAACAGCACGGCCTCGATCTGGGCCAGCCGCGGCTCTCGGATTCCCAGCGAGTCGTCGCCCGTTCCGCCGTCTCCCGGTGTGCGGTTATGGCTCCCCGCGCCCCTGCCCAGCCAGGCCCAGCGGCTCGTCGACTGATTCGCCACCAGGGGACATCGGTAACGTAGCGCAACGCTCCCCAATCTAACTGGCGGTGCTGTGGCGAATTTTCGCATAACCCCTCTCTCGCACCATCAGGTGTTCGTACCCGCGCGCTGTCCCCAAAGCTATGCGTTTGCGGTCGGTTCATGCAAGTGCAGGAAGCGCGAAAAGACCCTATCTGGCAATGGTTTAAACCAATGCTTCGCCCGACGAACGCGTGGTGGAACAAAGGTGTGAATGCTCGAATCGGCCCACTTAGTAACGCCGCTTGGCGTGCCAGGCCTCAACTTCGCCCAGAACGCGTTTCATTGCCACCATTGGGTTCGAATCGGTGGCCTCGAACTGCCGGGTGAAGTTCGGATTCTCGCCAATGGCCATCTTGCAATGGAAGCGATACAACGCCCCGCCGCGACCCCAGGTTTCCAGCAGATAGTAGGTCGCGCCCAACTGCTCGAGCCGGCGATGCATCGAATCGAACGTCGCATCGTCCCGCCCCTCGCTCACAGGAGGGGCAGTTTGCCATGCCTCTGGCATCGGCGTACTTTCCACGTCGCCAGCCTGCGGCGGTGTCTCCGACCAGGCAGTGGCCGACCCGTGCGGGCCCGGAATTAAGGCCGGATCGGCCGGGGGAACTTGCGAAGTGGCCCCCGCGGCTTGCCCCCCGCCACTCGCCATCGGGGGTGCCTGAGTATTTTTTTTCGTAGGTACTGCAGTACCTTGCGCCGCCCCGGGCCAGGCTTCTTCTTCGCCCTCGTTCTCGCGAGGTTTCGTTGAAGCGTGTTTGGGTTTCGCGTCGCGATAAACCACATCGCGGACCAATTCGCGCAGCGGCAGGTCGAAAATAGCAACCGCTGGAATGCAAAACAGCAAACACAACATCACCGCCGCGCGAAGCGTGGAGTAGGTGGACGATTGCTGCTGAGCCGATTCTTCCATGAATCCAACGTCGGTAACGTCACCCGCGGCGGAGTTCCTTTCGGCCGCCGGTGATCGCTTCTTGCGAGATAAGGGCACCCAATCGAGCACGGGTCACTACAACCCGGTGCGGATCATAGTCTGACGTTTTCCACGGTAGCAACCGCAATCGCGTCAGACCGGGGTATTCCGTCGCCTTGGTGGCAACTTTCGACCTGCTTGCTAGCTGCCACCACATCCCACCGCGAAGCTGGCCCGATATAATCGGGGTATGTCCTCCGAGTCGATCTACCTCGATGCCAACGCCACGACCGCGCAAGCAAGTGCGGTCACCCAGGCGATGATCGAATGCTACGAGCGATTCGGAGCCAACCCCGCTAGCCAGCACCGCCCGGGGCATCAGGCTCGCCGTCGACTGGAAGACGCCCGCGAAGCCATCGCCGAAACGCTGGGGGCCGAAATCGGTGGCCCTCAGGCCGACCAGTTGATCCTCACCTCCGGCGGCACGGAGGCCAATAACTTGGCCATCTTCGGGCTTTCCGGCCCCCCGGGCAGTCGGACGATTGTCTCATCGATCGAACACCCCTGCGTGGCGGGCGCCGCCGAACAGCTATCGCGCGAAGATCACCGCGTCGATCTCCTGCCCGTCGGGCGCTCGGGCGTCATCGATCCGACCGAACTCGAGAAACTCCTCACCGACACGGCGCACCTGGTAAGCGTGATGCTGGCGAACCACGAAACCGGCGCCCTTCAACCCCTGCCCGAGATCGCGGCCATCGCTCACGAGCATCGCGCTTTGATCCACACCGACGCCGTGCAAGCCGTCGGCAAGATCGACATCAACTTTCGCGAGCTTGGCGTCGATGCCATGACGGTCACTGCCCACAAGTGCCACGGTCCGCTGGGAATTGGTGCCCTGCTCTTGCGGAACGGCGTCAAACTTCAGCCGCGTTTGTTTGGCGGAAGCCAACAGTACGGGCTTCGCCCCGGCACCGAGAACGTCGCCCTGGCCGTAGGAATGCAAACCGCGTTGGAACTCTGGAGGAAAGAATCACAAGAGCGAACCCAACGCATGCAAGAACTACGCGACCGGTTCGAAGCATTACTGCTGGTCGAAATCGAAGGCCTGCAGGTTCACAGTCGCTCGGTCGCGCGACTGCCTCAAACCTCGAACTTGGCTTTCCCCGGCGTCGAACGGCAGGCTTTCTTCATGGCCTTGGACATGGCCGGCGTCGCCTGCTCGACCGGTTCAGCTTGCCAAAGCGGGTCGTCGGAACCCTCGCCAACGCTGCTGGCCATGGGGTGCGAAAAGAGTCAAATCGACAGCTCGTTGCGGTTCAGTTTGGGGGCCACGACCGAGGCCGCCGAAGTCGACGAAGCGGCCCGTCGTATCATCCTTGCTTACAAGCACTTGCGAAAAGCAAAATGATCGACTAATTCGGCCAGAAGCGGTCGCAGAACGGCCCCAAATTCTGTATATTGATGGCCTATTCCGAACCTCATTTCGTGCGTAGGAATAGGCACCTTGGGATGGGCTTAACGGGCCGGCATTCGCGTCGGTCACAAAGGTACTCCAACCCCTTCCCAATGAGCTTGGTTCAGGTTCTTGAATTGCCTCGAAAGAGCCATTCGTACTCCTGTTTTCGCGATCTTTTTTCAACGTGTGGACGGACCCAATCTACGTGGACGGTGTCTGCTCAATCCCGTTTTCCATGCCCTTCTCGCCCAGCGAATCGGCCCGGTCGGCACCGGAACCTCGCCGCGAGAAGCGTACGCCCGAGGAGTCGTCTCTGCACGACTTCGTCGCCGGGCCAGAAAACGCGGTCGCCGTTGAAGCCGTGCGTGGCGTGCTTTACGCACCCCGCGGTGAGTACAGCCCACTGGTTCTCTACGGATCCACCGGCGTCGGAAAATCCCACTTGGCTTCCGGCCTGGCAGAGCTATGGCGAATTCGCAACGCGAGCGAAACCAAACATGGCGTTGTGGTCTGGAACTTCGCCGACTTCGCCCGTCGCTATGCCGAAGTGCTGGAAACGCAGGCCAGCGACGAGTGGAATCGCCGTTTCCAACAAGCCTCGCTACTGGTGATCGAAGACATCGAGGCCGCCAAAACGAAAGACGCGGCCCAAGAGGAATTGGTCCGCATCCTCGATCGCTTCGCCACCGACGGACGACAGGTGATCGTCACCGCGAAGCAAGCCCCCGAACAAACCAAACAACTCTGCCCGCGATTACGCAGCCGGCTCTCGGCAGGTCTGGCCGTTTGCGTCGCCACGCCGGGCCCGGAAGCTCGCGAGTCGATCCTGCGTCAACTCGCCACCGAGTTCGATGTGAAGCTGGAAGACGAAACCATTCGCCGCATGGCTACCCAAACCGCAACGACTTATCCCCAACTGCGGGGCCTGATGCTCGAACTGCGAACATCAATGCGCGACGCGGAATTGGACGAAACCACGCTGCAAACCGCCATTGATCGCCGCTCGACCGACAAAAAACCCAGTATCGAAAACATCGCCACCGCCGCGGCCCGGCGTTACGGAGTGAAGCTGACCGATCTCCGCAGCTCCTCCCGCCGCAAGCAAGTCGTGGCAGCCCGGGGTGTGGCCATGTTGCTGGCCCGCGAGCTAACCGGCATCAGCTATCAGCGCATCGGCACCTACTTTGGAGGCCGCGACCACACCACCGTATTGCACGGCTGTCGGCAAACCGAGATCCGCAGCGGCGAAGACGAAGCCACCAAAGCCGCCCTGGACGATGTGCGAGGACAACTCACCCGGGCCTGAACTAAACACCACAACGGCATGTCCACCAACTGGTGGAAAACATGTCGACAACCTGTTGATGCGTGTCGATCGTTTGCGACGCCCATCAACACACCACCACGAACAAGCCAAACCATCGACCACCAACGACTGTTATCGACAGACCCATCGACGGGCTATGAACACGATTTCCACCACGCTCGCTGCGACGCAAGTCCGTGTGACATACACACATCGCCGCAACCATGCGGGGTTATCGACCGCTTCGGCCCTCGCATTACTACTAATACACCTATAGAGATTTCTACTAATCGCTAGTAACCAGAAAGCGATCTAACGATGAAGGCCACCTGCAAAAGAGAATCCCTGTTAGCGGCATTCCAAACCGCCGCCTCGGTCGCTCCTGCCCGAAGCCCCAAGCCGATTCTGCAAAACGTAAAGATGATTGCCAAAAACGGGGCAGCCACCTTGATCGCTACCGACTTGGAAGTCGGCGTTCGCGTCGAGGTCTCCGATATCGAAGTCGAGAACGAAGGCGAAGTGATTCTGCCGATCTCCCGTTTCGGTTCCATCCTGCGGGAAACCACCGACGAGAACATCCTGCTTGAAACCATCGGCACCCAAGTCGTGGTGAAAGGCGATCGCAGCGAGTTCAAGCTCACGGCTGAAAACCCGGATGAGTTTCCCCCGGTGGCCGAGTTCGATGCCAAGTCGTTCCATGAAATTCCGGCTCGCCTGCTGAAAGAACTCATCCGCCGCACCGTTTTCGCCACCGATAACGAAAGCAGCCGCTACGCCCTGGGCGGGGTGCTGCTGGAGATGAGCGAAAAAGAAATCGTCGCCGTAGGAACCGACGGACGCCGGCTGGCCACGATGAAAGGCCCCGCCTCTTCGGTCGAAGGACATTCGACCACCGAGAACGCGACCATCGTGCCCTCGAAGGCCATGCACCTCATCGAGCGATCGCTGTCCGACGGCGATGCCGAAGTTCAGATTTCGGTGCAGCCCAATGGCGTGTTGGTCAAAAGCCCCCGCACGACGATCTACTCCCGCCTGGTCGAAGGTCGCTTCCCGAAGTGGCGCGATGTGTTCCCCGATCGGACCGGCGTGAAAAAGGTTGAAACCGTGGTTGGTCCCTTCTTCGCCGCAGTGCGACAGGCGGCCGTGGTGACCAGCAGCGAAAGCAGCGGGGTTGATTTCACCTTCGGCTCCGGGCAGTTGGTCCTCACGGCACAAACGCCCGAGGCCGGCGAGTCGCGGGTCGAACTGCCCATCTCGTACGAAGGCGAATCGATTTCCATCACGCTCAACCCTCGCTTCCTCAGCGACTTCCTCAAGGTGCTCGATCCCGAGAAGACGATCACCCTGGAACTGAAGGATGCCGAGAGTGCGGCCGTGTGTACGACCGACGATGGCTACGAGTACCTGCTGATGCCACTGTCGCGAGATCGCTAGGTGCAGCGGTGGGATCAAAACGGTCGTCCAGGGCGACGGGTCGAAGAGAATTTAGTGGAAGTGAAACACTCGGTGCTGTTGGTTGTCGCAAGTAACTTCCCTGGGCAAGCAAAGGACATACGGTGAAGCAAGGCCAAGGACCACGGCCGATCGGCGATTTGCTGAACGAACTATTCGCTCGTCGTGGTTATGGTCGCCAACAAGCAAACCAAAACTACGACGAAGCCTGGCGTGAAGCCGCGGGAACCCATCTCGCCGGGAAAACACGCGTGGGGAAAGTGCAAGGAGGCACCTTTGAGGTGATTGCCGCAAGTTCGACCCTGGTCCAAGAAATGACGTTTCAGAAGAAATCGCTGCTGGCTCAACTAACCCAGCGATTGCCGGACGAACAAATTACCAAACTCAAATTTCGCGTGGGCAACGTGCGTTGACCTAAGCAACCGCGGCACCGTTCGAGGATCGAACGGAACCCGTGAAGACAAAACATAAACACATCGATGTGTGGGAACGAGAAACGAAATGTCAGAAGAACAAAACCCGTCGCCGGAACAGCCTGAATACGATCCTTCGAGTCAGGAACTGCCGGAATACAAACGCGTTGAATCGGAATACGATGTCGAGTCGCTCGAGCACCTCAGCGACCTGGAGCACGTTCGCGAACGCCCCAGTATGTACATCGGCGATACCGGCACCCGTGGCCTGCACCACATGGTGTACGAAGTGGTCGATAACTCCATCGACGAGGCCATGGCCGGTCACGCTTCTGCCATCACCGTGAAGATCAACAACGACGGATCGGTCACCGTCGAAGACGACGGTCGTGGTATTCCCGTAGACGAGCACCCCGACTTGGGCTTCTCCACCCTGCAAGGCGTGATGACCGTGCTCAAGTTCGGCGGAAAGTTCTCCAAAGGCGCCTATCAAACTTCCGGCGGTCTGCACGGGGTGGGCGTCACCGTGGTGAACTTCCTCAGCGAATGGTGCGAAGTCGAGGTTTACCGCAAAGGTCAGGTCTACCAACAAGAGTACGAACGCGGCGTACCCAAAGACGAGGTCAGTCGTTCGGCCAGCACCAACAAAACCGGCACCAAGACCACGTTCTACCCCGACCCGCTCATCTTCGGGGCCGCCAAATTCAGCAGCCACACTCTGCAGCGGCGCCTGCAAGAGTTGGCCTTCCTCAATCGCGGCGTGAAGATCGTCTTCGAAGACGAACGCGACGGCACCACCGAATCGTACCAATACGATCGCGGTCTTTTGGACTTCGTCAAACACCTCAACCGCACGACCGAGCCGGCCCATCCCGACATCATCTACATCGGCGGTGAGTACGAAGGTGTAGGGGTCGAAGTCGCTCTGCAATACTCGACCGACTTCACCGAAAACGTGCACTCCTATGTGAACAACATCTGCACGATCGAAGGCGGTACGCATGTCTCCGGTTTCCGCGCTGCCCTCACGCGGGCGCTCAACGCCTATGGTAAACGCGAGAACATGTTCAAAGACCTCACCCCCAGCGGAGACGACTTCCGGGAAGGACTCACCGCGGTCATTTCCTTACGCGTGCCCGAGCCGCAGTTCGAAGGTCAAACCAAAACCAAGCTCGGCAACGGCGAAATCGAAGGCATCGTCAACTCGGCCGTGGGTGAGTATCTGAACAAGTACCTGGAAGAGAATCCCAAGACGGCCAAGGTCGTGGTCAATAAAGGCATGCTCGCAGCCGAAGCCCGCGAGAGCGCCCGCAAGGCCCGGCAACTCATTCGCGAACGCAAGGGTGCCCTCTCCGGCGGAGGCTTGCCCGGCAAACTTCGCGACTGCAGCAGCCGCGAGGTGGAACGCTGCGAACTGTACCTGGTCGAAGGTGATTCGGCCGGCGGTAGCGCCGAAGGTGGACGGCTTCGCGAGTACCAAGCCATCTTGCCCCTACGAGGTAAGATCATCAACGCCTACAAATCGCGCGACGACAAAGTGCTGGCCAACGAAGAAGTCCGCAGCATGATCGCCGCCATCGGTTCCGGTATCGGCGCCGATAGCGATCTCGGCAAACGCCGCTACGACAAGATCGTGATCATGACTGATGCCGACGTCGACGGCTCCCACATTCGTACGCTGCTGCTCACCTTCTTCTACCGGCAGATGTACCAACTCGTTTCCGAAGGGCACGTCTACATCGCGCAGCCTCCGCTATTCCGCGTGAAGTCGGGCCGCGATACCTACTACGTGCAAACCGAAGAAGAGATGCGGAACCAGTTGCTCGACTCGGGTCTGGCCGACTCGGTATTCCAGCCCTCGCCTGATCGCAGCATCGAAGGCGAGCAGATGCGAAAGTTGTGTCTCACGCTGGCCGGCATGGAAGAAGCCCTGCAGGCTTTGGAACGGCGGGGAATCAGCCTCAAACTGCATGCCGAACGAATGGATCGCGAGACCCACAAGCTGCCCGTGTTTCATGTGTTCCTGGGCCGGCTCGAACATTGGTTCACCACGCGGAAAGATCTCGACGAGTTCGTGGCCGAGCAAGAGAAGGCCCAAGGCGAACAGGTGGCTCTGGCCGACTCTTCCGAACCCGCCCCCGAAACCAACGGTGAAGGCAACGGCTTCGAAGCCGGCGTGAAACTGCACATCATCGAGCTGCACGAAGTCCGCACCATCAACAAGCACCTCAAAGAACTTCGCGAGTTCGGCTTCGATGTCGAATCGCTCATCCCGCAAGAGCGCACGGGCACCGAAGACCCTCGCTACACCTTGCGTCGTGGCGAAACACTCACCCCGCTGGAAGACCTGCGTGGGCTGCTAACCGCCGTACGCCGAGCGGGTGAAAAAGGCATGCACATTACCCGCTTTAAAGGGCTGGGCGAAATGAACGCGGAAGAACTTCGCGAGACGACGCTCGACCCCGAGAACCGCACGATGTCTCGCGTTCGCATGGACGACGCCGCAGCGGCCGACGATATCTTCCGCATTCTCATGGGCGACAAAGTCGAACCTCGCCGCGAGTTCATTCAGAAGCACGCGTTGGACGTGAAGAACCTGGACGTATAGCTAAAGGGCCACCCGAGGGGCAGATGTATTACTTCCCGCGTATGAATGTGCCGGCGATTGTGAAGGCCCTGGTGCTCACACTCGTCCTAAGCATGGTGTTAGGGCTGGGAGTTGCAATGGCCCTGATGGCGATGGTTTCCAGCGACGTCTTGTCCGAGGAGGCCATCGACGCGTCGGCGTTGTTTAACGTCGCACTCACCGCCGTCGGCATGATCCCCGATGTGGTGGCCGGATTCCTGGTCGCCATGTTCGCCAAGCGGCACGTCTACCATCACGCTTTGGTTTTGTCTCTGGCGTTAATCGCCTTAGGTGCGGGCCTGCTGATGATTCCCACAGGCCAACCGGTTCCTTCAGACGATTGGGTACGGGTTGGGCTCACGCTCCCGTTCGTATTTTGCGGAACATTTTTTCACCAGTTCATCAAGAGAATATCTGGCCCGCCGCCCGAGCGTGATTGGGATACCGCCGCTTAGCGTTCGTTAGGCACTCGGCCGCTGGTCTTGCACATCCACGGCAAACCCTTCGATCTGGTTGCTCACCAGCTCGATGTTCGTGGCCTCGGCCGCAATGCGGATCCCGGTGCGGTTCATGGGCCGTCGGGTTTCAAGCAGCTCGTTCTTGGCCAGCACCACGTCGTGCGTCTTGCCTTGCACGTCGATGGCCACCCCGTCGGGCCCGCCGCTGTTGATCACGCGGTTGTCTTCCACCGTGTTGCGGTTGGCCCAAAAGTCGCGGCCGCGGTCGTCGTTGCGAAACAGAATGCCGACCTCACCGCTGTCCAGCACTTCGTTGTGCCGCATCACGTTGTCGGTATCGTTGTGGCCAATCGAAATGCCAAACCGTCGGTTGCCCACCATGCGGTTGTGCTCGGCCAGGCCAAACTTCACACCCCAACACCAGAACAGCCCGATGGTGTTGCGTTCGAGCCGGTTCCGCATCAACACCGGCCGCTGCGAACCCGAGCCAGGGTGCACGCCCAGGTCGGCATTGTCATGACAGTGGCAATCTTCCACTGTCACGTCGTGGCAAATCTGAAAGCTGATCCCGTCGCCGTTGTAATTGCCGGCCGTCACCTCGCGGAACGTCAGTCGCTGACTGTCCTGAAAGAAAAGGCAGCCGCCGTAGTTCCCGTTGAGGTTCTCGTTGTTGTCGCGGTTCCCGTCGAGCCGCAAGTTTTCGATCATCACGTCGGAAGTGTTTAGCCCGGTGAGCAAAGGAAACAGCGACGCACAGGCCGGCTCACCCGCCAGCCACAGGTTCTTCCGTAAACCCTCATCCAGTTTGAAGCGGTTTCCACTGCGGGCCACCAGCGTCCGCTTGATCACTTCCTGGCTTCCGTTATCGACGTTCGTGCCGGTGAGCAGCACGCCATCGCCCACGCGAAACCCGGCGGCGTCCTTCAGCGTGATCTCGCGATCGTACCAGTCGGAGTCTTCCCCCAGCGGGACCTTCTCCGAGGCGATCTTGGTGAACACCGTTTCGCTGCCACTCCCCCGCAGCCTCACCCCCGCAGGCATGTGCACCGCATTGCGAAAGGTGAACTCCCCCGGCGAAACCTGCACGGTTCCACCACCCCGTCGGGCCACATAATCGAGGGCCGCCTGCACCACCTTGTCGTCGCGTCCCACCAGGTCGCCCCGCTCGGTGCCGACGGTGATCGTCAACCGCTCGTCCCAATCAGGCTCGTGCCGCGAGTCGCCATCGGTCGCCCGCGGGTTCTCCACCACCGGCGGATCACCCCACGAAGCCGAAGTCATCGACCCCGCAACGGCCCCCGCAGTCGCCCCCAAGAACCCACGGCGATTGAAACGGTGCATGATCGTGTTCCCCAGCGGGCCATCGATAAACGTTTGGGTCCCAGGCGAAAGCGTTCAGCCGCTTCGCCCAACCAAGGTCTATCGTACACGATCGAAAATGGCCGTGCCGCAGCGACTATTTTTCCTGTCCGCACAAAATGTAGTACACCGGCTGGCCATTAAACTCCTCGGCCGCCCAGCCTTTCGGCAAGTTGCGGTAAAGCTCAGCTCGCGCTGCTTGTTCCTTTTCAAGCAGCAATCGAAGCCGACTAAGCTCTTCACGAGCCTCGTCGAGCTTCTGCCTGGCGTCTTGTGGAATGGCCTCGAACAGATCGGGCCCTTCTTGCGTCGCCTGTGGTTCATTGGCAACAGGGTTCAGCGTAAAACTAACGGCCATTCCTAATGAGATAAGAATTCGAATCATCGCCTAACCCCTTTCATTCGAGGAAGGAAACCAAAGAGCCTCGCCAATGCCCAACGCCCACCCGACACCGGCGACCTGAAGCGGAGCGATTCTAGAGAATCGGCCGACCTGAGACGATAGAGTTCGAGTGCAGCGGCGAATGCATTGCTAGCAGGCGCTCAACTCGAAGCCGTCTGCGCGTTGTCCTTCGGCCGCACAAAAGCCGCCAGCACGAGCCCGGCGAGAATCCAGGAGGAGATGAGGTAGCAGGCGAGCATCAACTGATAGCCGAACGAGTGATAAAACCAAACCACGTCGCCCATCCTTACGAACGCCGCGGCGAAGAGACCCAGCCCGGTGACAAACGCCACCCGCGATCCGTAGCTCTTCAGCGAGTTGCCAGCCACGGCCAACAACGTGCCGGCGATGAGCGCCGAGACGAAGAAGTGCAACATGCCCTGCATGTACATGCTGGGGGCCATCGGCTCCAGACCTTCACTGACGAACACGTGCAGAATCGGGCCCTCTCTATGCTTCGCTTGCCATGCTTCGAAGGTGGCCTCGTCATTCGGATCCATCCCGTCTGGGCCAGGGTAGACATATACGCCGGGCGTCACCTCGTTCTCGACAAACGCCTGCCCGATAGCGTCTTCGTTGGGCAGCGTGTGAATGTAGTTCATGGGAAACGGCAACAGCGTCCAGAACACAAAGCCCCACGCCATGAGCACGATGGCCGAAAGCACCGCCCCAATCACCACGAAGAACGCCCGGCCCGCCATAGCAAACACCTCACAAAAAGATTGTGGTTAAGAAGTGATTTGTGAAATGTAACCGTGATATTTTCAGAATTCCACCTATTTACGATTCCTCGATGGGTGGCCCGGCCGCGCCGGCCGGGTTGTCGCAGACAACAAGATGACTTGAGAGGCACTTTCCTGAAAGCCTCGCACGAGGCTTGGTAGATTGTTCGAACTTCACTCGCAGCCAGGTAGCAGCTAGCTTCGGGCTGAAGACGATCGAAGGTGTGTACTGCACGGCCCCAGTCCACTCGAGCCAATCGTCCCGCACTCAGTGCATCTTGTCGGCTCCGCCGACCCAGCCGGCGCGGCTGGGCCACCCTGGGTGATTAGCTTTTTTCGACCAACCCTTTGAATCGTTCGAACGATTCATCCCAGGCACTGGTTTCTCGCGGCTCGTATTCAACCAACGGGAACGAGGTGCGGATAATCTCGCGGGCTTCGCCAATCGAACCCACGGCTCTCGAGGCGATGGCCTGCGTCATCAGGTTGCCAATTGCGGTGGCTTCTACCGGTCCGGCCAACACGCGTCTACCGCAGGCGTCGGCCGTGGCCTGGCATAGCTGCCGGTTTTGAGTACCACCGCCCACGATGTGAATCGTTTCGATGCGACCGCCAGTCAACTCTTCCAACATACCAAGCACGTAGCGACACTTCATGGCGATGCTTTCCACGGCACATCGCATCACCGCACCGTCTTCTTCCGGAACCGTCTGCCCCGTGCGTTGGCAGTAACTACGAATGGCCGCCGGCATGTCGGCCGGCGCCAGGAAATCGGCCGCGTCGGGGTCGACAAACGCCGCGCGAGCGGGGGCCGCTTCGGCCAGTTTGGTTAGCTCGTCCCACGCGTAATCGCGACCTTCGACGGCCCAGACCCGACGACACTCTTGCGCCAGCCACAACCCGGCGATGTTCTTGAGCAAGCGTGTGGTGTTTCCCACGCCGCCTTCGTTCGTGAAGTTGAACCGCGAACACTTCTCGTTCACCAACGGCTTCGGCAGCTCCACCCCCATCAGCGACCAAGTGCCCGAGCTTATGTAGCACCACTCAGGTCGCTCGCTTGCTTCCGATTCCGCCGGCACGGCCATCACTGCACTGGCCGTATCATGCGTACCAGGCAGCACCACTTCGACCCCACGCAACCCGGTGGCCTCCGACACATCTCTTCGCAATACGCCCAAGTGCGTGCCCGGCGGGACGATCTTCTGCAAGAAGTGCGACGGCAAGTCGAAGCGGCCGAGCAACTCGGTAGCCCAACCGCCTTGTTGCGGATCGAAGAACTGCGTGGTCGTGGCGTTGGTGAATTCATTCACCTTCGCGCCGCACAGCATCCAATGAAACAGGTCGGGCATCATCAGCAGTGTGTCGGCCATTTCCAGCAGAGGTGAGTTAGCCTCCTTCATCGCCAGCAGTTGGAACAACGTGTTGAACGGCAGGAACTGCAGACCCGTGGCGGCGAAGATCTCTTCGCGGGGAACGATGTCGAAGGCCCGTTGCATCATCCCGTCGGTGCGGCGATCGCGATGGTGGACGGGATTACCCAGCAGTTGGTCGTCGCGCGAGAGCAAGGCGTAGTCCACGCCCCAGGTGTCCACACCCACACTGGTGATCTGGCTGCCGTAGCGATCGGCCGCCTTGCGGAGCCCGAGCTGGATCTCTCGCCATTGGGCCAGGGCATCCCAGAACATGGTGCCGCCGACGGTGATGGGCCCATTGGGAAAGCGATGGATTTCGTCCAGTTCGAGCCGGGTGCCGTCGAATCGCCCCGCGACGAGCCGCCCGCTGGAGGCCCCCAAATCTGCTGCCAAGTAGATTGCTTCGGCCACCACCGTTCTCCCAAGATTCCAGACTTCGACTCACCAAGTGTTCGCTGTGACGACGGCCCAGGATAGCTGCCACCGCGGCGGATTTCGAGCATCTCCCGCACTTGCATTGGCGATGGTGAGGGGTGATAGCGTGCGAGTCAAGCCTTAATATGCCAACAACTTGCGCCTATCGTCCGGCGAATCACCACGATCGGCCCCAGTGCCAGAACCGGTAAAGGCTATAGAGTCCCCCGGTCGTAAGACGATAGGAGAGAATGAATCCGGCCTATACTTGACCTAGATGATAAACATAGTTATCATTTTCCAGCGAACAACAAAGTTCACCCGCTGTTAGAGGCTCACCGCCATGACCCCGTTGGCCAAGAGGATCGCGGACCCCATCGTGCCCAATTCAGGCGTTCTGCCCAAGCGAGCTGTGGAGCTGAAGATTTTGCATCCCGAAGACCACCCCGCCCCCACGGCTACCCAGCCCGCGGCACCGCCGGTTGCCAGCGAAGAGCTCCTGGCCGAGCTGGCCGAACACAGTGCCCGACTCGAAACGGCCAGCCCTCAGGAAATCATCACCTGGGCCGCCGAAACCTACGCCCCGCGCCTGGGCATGGCCACCGCCTTCGGACCCGAGGGCTGCGTGATTCTGCACATGCTGGCCACGCTTGCCCCCGAGACTTACGTCTTCAACCTAGACACGGGCTACCAATTCAAAGAAACACTCGAACTCCGCGATCGTATTGCCGAGCGGTACGGCATCGAAGTCGAACTTCGCAAGCCCGAGCTTTCAGTTGCCGAGTACGAAGCGGCCCACGGCGGTCCGGTTTATGAAACCGACTCGAACCAATGCTGCTTCGATCGCAAGATCAAAGTCCTGCAGCAGGCCGCCCGCGAGTTGGACGGCTGGATGAGCGGCATCCGTCGCGACCAAAGCAGCCATCGGGCGAAGGCCCCCATCGTGGGTTGGGATAAAAAGTTCGGCCTGGTGAAGATCAGCCCCTTGGCCAATTGGACCAAAGAGCAGGTCTGGAAGATCATCACCGACGAGAAGGTTCCTTATAATCCGTTGCACGACCAGGGCTACACCAGCATCGGTTGCCAACCGTGCACGCGGCAGGTGCTCTTCGGCGAAGACGAACGTGCGGGGCGCTGGAGCGGCTCGGGCAAGACCGAGTGTGGTTTACATACGGCGGACGATTAATGGCCAAAGTATCAGCCAAGACGGAATACGCCTGTCTGGCGATGCTCGAGCTGGCCGCCAACTACAATTCCGCAGATCCGGTGCGTGTTCGAGAGATCGCCGAACACCACGACATCCCGCCGCGATTTCTCGTGCAGATTCTGCTGCAACTCAAAGCTACCGGGCTGATCAACAGCACCCGGGGCGCCTCGGGCGGTTACCGCCTCAACTACCCTCCGCGTGAAGTCACGCTGGCCCAAGTGATGCAGGCCATCGACGGCGACAGCGATCAGCCCGAGGTCACGGCCGAATCGGCCGCCATGCAGGTGCTCTACCAAACCTGGAACGAAGCGGCCGAAGCCCAACGCGAAGTGCTCGAAGCCATCACCTTCGCCGAGCTGCTAGAACAAGCCCGCTCGAAAGATGCGGACATGTATTACATCTGAGCATCGCACCTTCTACGAGCAAGCAAGCTCGGGTGGCCCGGCCGCGCCGGCCGGGTTGTCGCAGACAACAAGATGCTCTCAGAGGTACTTTCCTCACGGCCTCGCTCGGGGCTTGATTGAATCTTCGAATCCCAAACGCAGCTGAGTAGAATTTGGTCTCCGGCTTTAGGCGATCGAAACTACTCTGTGCGACGGTGATCCACTCGAGCCATTCATACCGTACTTAGGGCATCTTGTCGGCTGCGCCGACCCAGCCGGCGCGGCTGGGCCACCCGGGAAAGATCTAAGCCGGCTTGAAGGTTTGGGACATGGATTATATCTGAGCTAGAATGCCGGGATGATTGTCAGCTTCGGCAAGCCACCGCGAGTTCGGTTTACGCTCAGCACCTTTCTGATTGCGGTGACGGTGCTTTGTCTGGTGTTCGCGGTGTTCATGATTCCGCGCGAGCAGGATCGTTGGGGGCCCGTCGCCGAGAACCGGCATCCCGGGGATGCTTCGAAATTTGATGTCGCTTTTGTGCAGCAGGGTCTCGACTTGGTGGCCATCCCCAGCCAGTACGGCACGGAGTTTCTAGACCTGGAGAAACGGCTGCTCCTGTGGCGCGACGGCGAGCAGCTTGAGATTCGAGAGTTTGTTGTCGGCGAGGGAGTCAAGCTGAAGGGCAACTGGCCCTTGACGCTTTACCTGGTGACGTATCGCACGAGCAACCTGGAGAACATTTCCAAGATTGAAGTCGGCAGCGACGGCACGATCCCTCGACCGTTACTCGGTAGCAGTGCCCTGTTCGAATCATCCGACGAACGTTTCGACACGCCCGAGAAAGTCTACAAGTTCTTTTCGAACGGCCGCAGGCTGTAGCTCGGAAACTACTTCACGAAGCGCAAACAATAGGGTGGCCCGGCCACGTCGGCTGAGCCACCCTAAATGAATTTGCTTGCTCTTATAACCCTAGCTCGACATCGCTTCGGCGAGAATCTTGGAGGTGCTCTCTCGCATGATGCGGGGGTCGACTTGCTTGCCTTCTTGCAGGGTTTTGCGGACGTCTTTGCCGGAAATGAAGACCGGCTTCTCGTCCTTGTGGTTTTCCATCAGATCCACACGGCCCATCGATTCGTAGTAGGCCGCGAAGCCGACGTTGATGGGTTCGATCTTCAAGTCGCCCTTGAGGTTGTTGAAGATCTCCTGGGCGTCGAAGTCGCCCCAGATGGCCGAGCCGTCGTGGTACGGGGCGTCGGCATGTTTGCGGCCGATCACGATGTTCGTGAAGCCGTAGTTCTGACGGTAGATGCCGTGCATCACCGCTTCCTTGGGGCCGCCGTAGAACATCTTGATATCGAGACCCAGCAGGATCACGCGATCGGGCACGCTTTCGCCCCGCTTGCTCCACAGTTCGGCGTCGCTGTCGCCTTCGCCAATCGCACGGTCGTCGATCAGCTTCTCGTAGGTCTGCATGCGAATGTCGGCGTTGACGTCGTCGCCCTTGGTCTCGCCGATCAGCGGATTCAAGCAGGCCCCGGCGTTCTTGCCGTCGCGAATGAGTGTTTCCAGACCGTACACCAGGGCGTACTCGTGGGCCCGGTGCAACGGGTTACGCGTTTGGAAGGCGACCACCTTGTCCCAGCCCTTCTCTTTCAGCAACGCGCGAACTTCGCGCGGCGAGAGCACGAACTGGCCGAAGCTGGGGTTCTTGGGTTGCGGCAACACGCGGATGCTGCCGCCGAGGAGGTGCGTCTTGTCGGCGTCACCCTTGAGGACCATGTCGGCCCCAGGATGATCGGTGCGGTCGGTCAGGTAAACCGACTTGATGTAGGCTTCTTTATCCCACGGGAAGACATCGCTGATATCCAGCGTGGCAACGATATCGCCGGCGGTGTTCACCAGGGCGACCTTCGTGCCGGCCGACAACGACGAAGCCAGCTCCGAGGTGACCGGCAGCGACAGCGGAATGGTCCAGGCGTAGAGCTTGCCGTCGTGTTCGATGACCGATTCGTCGAGCACGCGTTGATACGTGGCCGAATCCATCGGGCCGGTCAACGGGCTAAGGGCTCCATCGCCAAAGCGGTAAACGGTCGACAGGTCGGCGTCGGACACCGGCACCTTGGGCAGCGATTGGGCGTCGGCGACGAAGCTGTCGACCTCATCCTTCGCGACCGTGCAACAAACCGGCTCGGCCAAACCACCATGTGGGGGGATAAGATCACTCATCGTCGCAAACCCTCATCTACCAGAAAACCACCCAGTCCAACCGCCCCAGACCAATTCCAAGGCGCACAACTAAGCCCGCGAGTATAGAGGAAGCGAGAGTGGGTCTCAATGAGGGGGCGGGGAGTGGCTCCAGTTAAAGATAACAGGCATGGAGTGGGGATTCTTATGTTTCTAGTGTTCGGTTTTACGGCTTTCCCTCTGTGGCCATGCACCACCAACTATTCTTTTGTACACTGGTAATGCGACTCGGATCGGCAGGTATCCATAGCCAGCCAAATCACTCGATGCATCAAGGTAAGTGGGCAGATTAACTCGTGACGTGGCTCCTATTTCTTGATGAGAGTGGTGATCTCGGATTCGATTTTGAGAACAAAGATTGCTCGCGCCACCTTACGATCTCAATTCTGGTCGTGAGACAACAGAGGTCCGCGAAGTCAATACGCGGAGCGGTAAAGAAGACTCTGAAACGAAAGGTCAACCACGGCAAGAAAGGCAAGAAGTCTCCCGAAGCCGAATTGAAAGGAAGCAGCACATCGCTCGGGGTGAAACAGTACTTCTATGAACTGATTCGCGATGAAGAGTTTGGCATCTACGCCATCACGCTCGACAAGCACAGCATTCAGGACCAATTGCAGGGGACATCGAATGCGAAGAGCGAGCTGTACGATTTGATGGCCCAGCGAGTTATCGAGGCCATCGAATTTGATCCACCGCCTTCAGCTACTTACTTGATAGTGGATCGCAGCAAAGGAAGACGAGGCATTTCTGAATTCAATCGGCGAATCACTACCCAGTTGCGGAAACGTTTGCCGAAGCAGGCACCCCTTCGAATCGAACACACAGATTCCAAGGTTGATCGGGGGTTGAGCGCTGCCGACCTGTTCTGCTGGGGCATATTCCGGCACTGGGAACATGCGGACGACGAATGGTACGAGCTGTACCGGGATAAGGTGCTTCAGAATGAGAAGTACCAATAAAAATAGAGCGTGCCCCACGGGAAGGAATTCCTTGGCTTTGCCTACACGATGGAAGGGAACACCAAAGACGCCCGTAGCGGTCTTATCGCTCTATAGAAATAATCGGGGGTTAAGCGGCTGAAGTCAAGCGAAAATCACGGCTCACTTTTCAACGTTAGTCGTCATAACCCGAAGATGCGACGTGCTTTGGAGTGGCCGCTTTACTCAGCTTTCTCCGCTTTCCCGCCGAATCTCGAGCACCACGCTCTCTGAATCCGTCCCTGGCATGGGGTAGGACTTTAGTTTGCGGAGTTGGAGGTCGTGCATCAGGCCGTGGTGGCGGGCTTCGCCACGTTCGTCGGACCAGGCGGGGCCTTTGACGAGCAGTAGCCGGTCGAAGCGGTCCCAGCAGGGTGCAAGCCAGGTGAGGATCTTCCGCAGTCGGGCCACGGCGCGAAGGACCAATGTGTCGTAGCGGGCGTGCGGCAGATGTTCTTGGGCCGGGGCGTGAATGACCGGAACACGGAGATCGAGGCTTTCGACGATCTCGCGGACCGCTTTGGCCTTCTTGGCTACCGAGTCGCAGAGGGTCACCTTCAGGTCGGGCCGGATGATGGCCAGCACCACGCCGGGTACGCCGCCGCCGGTGCCCACATCGAGCACGCGTTCGCCCTGGGCAAGTTGCTCGGCCAGGGCCAGGCTATCGACCACGTCGCGGGAGACAAACCGTTCGTAGTCGGTGTGCCGGGTGAGGTTCAGCTTCTCGTTCCAATTCCACAGCGTGCGACAGTATCGGCCCAACAGCTCGATCCGCTCCTCGGGCAATTCGATACCATGCCGGGCGAGGGCCGCCGCGAGTGTGTCGTCTGGGAAAGTTGCTGTGTCTTCGTCCGACATGAGGTGGGCAATCTTGTTTTGAACGGTAATCGATGGTCGGGGGTTTGGGTTATGGGTGCCACGGCTGGCTGGTCCAGCCGTGCTAAACCACGGGTGATTCTGAATACTTCGCATGATTTTCGAGCTGAGAGGTCGGAAGAGGCAGTGTGCAGCATAACCTTTCCCCTGCGCGGCTGGACAAGCCAGCCGTGGCACCCGAATCCTCCTGCTGCAGCTTGATGAACTCAGAAAGCCCGTGGCACAGCAAGCCTACTCGCCGAGTCCTCGAATGAGAAGGCGGCGACTGGCCGTGTGTGCATTCTCCACCTAGAATCGGGGGTTTGCTCGGCGGCGTGGGGCCGTTCGGGGTGTGGGGGAAGAAAATCTCGCAGCGGGATGGCGCGTTCATGAATTCGTTAGGACAGCCCGAGGTCGACCGATGGTCGTGGGTGCCCGGGGCCGCCTTGGTGGTGGTCGTCGTGCTTCTGGTGTTTGGGCAGACGGTGAATCATCAGTTCCTCAACTGGGACGACAACGTCAACGTTTGGAACAATCGACGCCTCAATCCTGTGAGTGTGGGTGGTGTGGCTTTCTTCTGGGGAAACTCGTACGCGCGGATGTACGCCCCCATGGCCTACACGTTCTTCGCGGCCGAGGGACTGATTTCGCCGCGGGCCGAGGCCCCTCCCGGGAAACCGTTCGGGCCATATAAACCGGTCGTGTTTCACTTGGGAAGTTTGTTCCTGCACGCCACTTGTTGTGTATTGGTGTTGTTGATATTGCGGCGATTAATCCAACACGATGTAGCGGCCCTGGCCGGAGCGTTGTTGTTTGCGGTTCATCCCCTGCAGGTCGAGACGGTGGCTTGGATCACCGAAACCCGCGGGTTGTTGGCAGCCGCGTTTGGGCTGGCGGCCGTGTGGCAATACCTTCAATTTGCCGATGAGTCGATCGACGACTCGCGGCGACGGGCGGTGCATTACCTGGTGGCCTCGCTGGCCTTGTTGTTGGCGTTGTTGTCGAAGCCCTCGGCCGTGGCCATTCCGCTGATTGCATTGGTGCTCGACTGGGGTTGGTATCGTCGCCCGTTGTCGCAAGTGGTTTTGGCAGTGTTGCCGTGGGTGCTGTTGGCCGTGGGCTTTTCGCTTGGCACTGCCGTGGTGCAGACGGGGGCCCCGATCGAAACCGCACCGTTGTTGGCCCGACCGTTGTTGGCCCTCGATGCGTTGGCTCATTACATCGTGAAGTTCATTCTGCCCTTCGGGCTGGGGCCCGACTATGGGCATACACCTTCGGCTGCGATGCAGAAGAATATGTGGTACGCCATGGGCGTGCTTCCGCTGGGGCTCGCTTACTTGGCCTGGACATTGCCGGGCCGTCGGGTGTGGCTCACCGCGCTGGGGGCTTTCGTGGTGGCGTTGTTGCCGGTGTTGGGGTTGGTGCCGTTCGACTTTCAGCAGATTTCTACGGTGGCCGATCGCTATGCGTACCTGGCGATGCTCGGTCCGGCGTTGGCGTTGGCCTGGTTCCTGGTGCGTTACGGAAGCGTGTTGAAGTACGCCGTGGTGAGCTTGGTGTTAGTGGCTTGGGGGGCACTGAGTTTCGTTCAAACCGGGCACTGGGAGAACGATATCGAGTTGGCCGAGCAGGCCCTATGGGTGAACAGCGAGAGTTACACCTTTCAGTTGAACGCCGGCAACGCGTTGTATCGGGCCGAGATGTTCGAAGATGCCATCGAGCGTTATAAGCGTGCCCGCGAGTTGAGGGCGGAAAGCGAAGTCAGTCGCTACGAACTCATTCCGCTGTACTACATAGCCCGATCGGAATTTCAATTGGGCAACATGCCCGGGGCGATCGAGAACGCCGAACTCGTGCTGGCCGAACGCCCCGACTTCGCCGGCGGGGATGTGTACGTGCTCCTTGGCCAGGCCCTGCTTCGCGCCGAACGCAACGCCGAAGCCCGCGAAGCTTTCGAGAAAGCCCTGGCGATCAACCCGAACTCCGATGGGGCGCTAAATGGGTTGGCCAAACTGGATTCGATCGAAGCGGCCCGGTAGGTCGTGGGGCTTATCGTTCGGTTCTAAAAACTCGCTCAGGGTGGCTCCGCTTCTAGAAGCGGAGTCGTCGAAGACGACAAGAGAGTTTTCGGGCGGATTCACTCTGCGAGAAGTTTGTCTTCGCCCTGTACATCAACTAGTCATGCGATGTCATCGGACGTGCGTGGTGTTCGCTTCGGACCTCTCGCGGCTGCGCCGCGCCAATGAACTCATGACGCTACCCGCTCACGCAGATTGTCGACTGCGGCTTTCCACTCGGATGAGTCGCCTTCTTCCCAGAGTGCCAGCAGCTCTGAGGGTTGAGTGCATATTCGATCGATGGCGGCGAGTGCGGACTGAACGAGATCGGCCGGCGGTGACTGTGGATGAGATTCGACCCAGGCGTCTACGGTTTCGGTATAGGCGTCGCGTTTGCCCCAGTTTCCCTTCAGTCGAGCGATGACCTCGCAGGCAGCGAGGGCCTCGAATGCGGGGTCCAGCTCAAGGTATTCATCACCGGTTTGAAGAACCGCTTCGAGCGTCTGTTGCACCAACGATAAATCCGATGCTTCAGCGAGATCGTATGCCCAGTCGCAGGCAGAGTCGTTGTCGAAGGTGTCGACGTCCCAGGCACCCATTTACGTACTCCTTTGCCAAAGGAAGTGAGTGTCAGAGATGTGTGGATTCGAAACGGGTGCGTGAACTCGCACCTCTTGAGACAGTTTACTGCATTGTGGCATCGGCTCCACTCAGTGTGCAGATTGAACGTGAGTAGTGAGGTGGTAATGGTGTCGCGGTAATCGAAGCGGGACATTGTTAAGGACGAATAGAGTGTTGCCATAAACCCAGAGCTTCGCACTAGGGCTGGAGGCCAGTGGCGCCCGTGCTGAGGGGAGTGTATATAATCCAACGCGTTTCATAGCAGAATCTGAGAAGAGAGTGGACACTCCACCCCATGATCTCTGAGCATACCCAATGGTTTCTGGTTGTTGGAATCTTGCTTGTCTCTCTAGCATCGATTCGTCCCTTCCTCAAAAGATTCTGGATCACGGTTCCCCAACTTCAGCTGCTCTGTGGTCTTGCAATCGGACCGCTCGCACTCAATTTGGTGTCGCTAGACTGGACCAAGGATGCAAAGCTTTTGGAAGTTGTTGCAGAAGTAGCTGTGATTATTTCGCTTTACGCCACTGGCGTTAAGATGCGAGAACCCCTGCTTAGTAAGACGTGGATTCCGCCCTTGATCCTCGCCTCATTCACGATGGTCGCGACGATCCTCATGATGACGGTGACCGGAATCCTCTGGATGGACTTGTCTTTATCCGCAGCATTACTCCTGGGAGCTGTTCTCGCACCGACTGACCCGGTGTTGGCTGACGAGGTACAGGTCGAACACGCAGGTGACGACCATCCGTTGCGGCGGACGCTTACCGGCGAAGCCGGTTTCAACGATGGGACAGCGTTCCCCTTTGTGCTGCTCGCGATTGGCCTGAGCGATCCTCAACTTCATGCACTGGGGGAAAACTTCTGGCGGTGGATTGCTATCGACTTGGTATGGAAGATCGTCGGCGGGCTCGTGATCGGTTGGTGCAGCGGACAGCTATTGGGCAGGCTCACGCTTTGGTTTCAGCACAAAGAGTCCGAGGAACATGGCATCGACGAAATTCGCTCACTCGGATTTATTGCATTGACATACGGATGTGCATTGTTCTTAAACACTTATGCCTTCCTCGCAGTATTCGCGGCTGCAGTCGGTCTACGACACGTCGAACTTCAGGCAGCTAAAGGCGATGGGAATGAAAGAGACGCGGATGACTTGCTTCGAGAACAATCTGATGTGGCTTCAGCACTAGAAAGCTTGATCCAAGTGCTGCTGGTGGTTGTCGTTGGTGTGCTTCTCAGTACAACCCCTCTTCTCAATTGGAAGACTTGGCTTTTCGCGCTTGTGGCGATCATCATCATTCGACCGTTAGCCGTACTGCTTACCCTACACACCAATATGCTCTCTCTTCGCTACAAATTACTGTGCGCGTGGTTCGGAATTCGCGGGATCGGGACATTGTTCTACCTCGCGCACGCCATCGTCCTTGGTGCTGCCAGCAGTCTTCCCGAGGAGCTGTCAGTCGTTTCGGCCTGTGCCGTAGCGACGATTACACTGAGCATTGTATGCCATGGTACGACCACGAATCTGTTGAGCAACGAATAGATGGTGGCGGCCGAATCGGCGCGCATTTTACCCAGCAGGTGCTGGCTTGTGTTTCGTCGAAAAGCGAAACTCGTGAGAGCAGGCCCCCTCTTGGGCTCATGCAGAAAGCACCCGAGCGAGTGGAGGGGGTGTGGCGAGGAATTCGGCTGCGTGGCGGGGCTAGGTGCGAAATTGGTACGACTTGTCCCAAATCGTTGCTGGGGGCAATGGGTGAGTCTATGATGCTTTCAAGACTCTTAATTCCCGGCGGTTGTTCCTTCTCTGCTCGCTAATGAATCGGCTCGACACTCTGTTCGACTTGCAATCGCTGATTCGCTGCTAATTGGCCGCGATCGTCGGCCGTGCCGGCTCGGCATTCTGTGTCTTTGGTCACTCGTTGATGACCGCTCCGCCATGTGACCGGGAGATCGCTCTTTTCTCGCGTCCGCTTCCGCTGTAACGGCTGAAGAGACGAACGGTCGGTCGCTCGCAGCATTCTCCTTTGGGTTGCGGTTGCCTCGGCTTGCAGGTCGGCAGCGAAGATTTCGACGACCAACTCACCTATAACCCATCGGGACCCATGCTATGCGCCTTACATCGACTTTCACTCTCGCACTTTTGATCGTGCCGTCTCTCTGTCTCAGCTCACCGCGTGCTCAGGCTTTGGAGCTTTCATTCATCACGCAGTATTGCAATGAACAAATCAGCACGGTCGACGCGAGCACCGACACGCGGATGCTGCAGAACATCTCGAATTCGCTGATGACGGATGAGCCGGCTTTTCTCGACGATGCACTCTTTCT